GCCTGCTTCTCCCTCTCCCACTCCCCCTGCTTGTGTTCCCTCTCTCGCTGTGTCTCTCTGTCAAATGGATGGATCTTTAAAAAAAAAAAAAAAAAATTGAATTATCACATGTACTAGAAGGTATTACCAACAAATGGAAATAAAAGTATTACAGGGTTGACATCTATTAATTCTACAAATATTTGTTAAATGCCTACATCCTGCCAACAGCTTACATTACAACAGTAAATAAAAAAGCTATTCTTCATGGCACTAATGGAAATTATCCAATTTTACCAAAATTTTATCCATTTTTCCCCAAAATTCTCAATAATGTTATAGCAACTTTTCATTTATAAGTTTAGCTATGGATTAGGAGCAGTGATAAATTTAAATGCTTGTAATTGTATGCTTCTTGTTGTTTTCATCTGCTTACACATATTTTATAGAACATGAAATTAAGCAATTTTTGTTTTTATTTAGGAAAAAGCACAAAGTGTTCATTCCTCTGTTTTCCTTTTATTAATTTATTGATTGGCTTATTCTTTAAACAAGGAATTATTGAGCGCCTGTGTATTGGTGCTGTGATGGATGTGAGCAGTATCGAGTAGGACAGATGCCCTGTATCTGTTTTTTTACTCTGTTATGGGCTCATCACATTAAAGTTCTGGTACGGATCAGCTTGTTCCATTAAGATGTCATTTTAGATTTTTACCACAAATGTTATTTTCTCAATGGAAGAAGGATTTGGGTAATGAGCAGAAAGCATGCATTTGTGCATTTTTTATACCTTTTTTTCCAAACTATGTTTTACAACTGTAGCTGGAAAAAGAAAAGAGAAATTGTCTTTTTAACATGTTGAAGAAATCAGAGGTACTTTTGTATTAGTTACTTTGGGTGGCCTCCAAGTTTCTTTTTCAATAAACTATTTCACACAGATACAGAGAATATTATTGACAAATAGGGAGGGTACTGTGAAGTCGTACTTAAATGTTAAGAATGAAATTGATCTTCCATGGAAAACTATACTTCTGTCTTTCCATTCCTAATGCTTTTTCCATTTGTGTGGGCAATATTAACAAAACTAAGTGCCATGTGGGGTGGTGATTCTGTATTTGTCTACAGACAAATCTGGAGGATACTGTAGGTAACTAGAGAGAATATTCTGAAGTGATAAGTAAAGTTAATTTATGGAAAACTGTACTTCTGCCTTTGAGTTCTTATTAACTCTCTTCCCTCCTCACTTGTGCCTTTTGGGGTGATATTGGCAATACTGGCAAAATTGAAGTGGCATGTGGGCTGATTCTGGGATCTTCATTTCCATATGCTCCTTAATCATCCTAAAGTTGTTGCAGCTATAACAACAGCTAAAGGATGGCTGGTTTTTAAAAAATATTAGTGGTGGGAGCACTGATACTTAGAAATACACTGGGACACTTGGTTGGGTGTATTCACAAACATTATGTAGTCTAGATCTGCCAAGGTCCCCTCTCCTTATGGACTTTTATAAACTTATGGCTTTTATATGACATTCTAGGCCTTCATTAATATCTAGATATTAGATTGATTAAATCATTCAAAGATTCTTAAATATTATGTAGTCATTTATTTTTAAACATTGGAAAAGACTTTAAAGAAATATACATCTGTCATTACTTTAACATTTTAAAATGTTAATAGCTTTTCATTATGAATCTTATTACTATGACAGTTTTGTTTGGCTCTTAAGTTATTTTCAATATAAGTCAGAAATAAGGAGTAGAATTAATTCAATCAACACATCATTCCTAAGTGCCTCTTAACAGCATAGATACATATCAGAACAACAGAGATGTGTAAGAAGGGGTGCCTGTCCTCAGGGAACTTAAGGCCCATTTGAAATGGTCACAAATAGTTTTGTCTAGTGAATCCTCAGTGTTCATATGATGAATGATCACTAAAATGTATATTTTTTTTTACAATTTTTATTCTATATCAACAATTCATGGTAATTTCCTTAATCAGTTCAGCACAAACATAGCGTCTTACGTAGGAAGACTTGTTTTAGGACCATAAGCAAAATCGGCAGCCTGTAATAAGTGCTAAATCTAACCTTGGGCAATTAGAATATGTGACAAATTTAGAGTGACATATTTTTCTGAAAACTAGAAGGTCTGTTATATTAAATAGGAGAGTGAATATGATCTATCTGCTGGAAGAGTTCTTTATAAATATTAATTTAAAATTAATATGTTCAGATATTTACAATGCAGTCCTGAATTGAGCTGTTCGAAAATATGGTTTTCCAGTATTTTCAGAGATAATGCTAATGAAAGTTATACTTTTTCCCCGCATTTTTTTGCTTCCACTTTTATTTCTGGCTTGGGGAAAAAGGAAAATAAGCATATGAAAGTAGTGTGTGGCTTGTTTTTAATTCCCATAGCTTTCAAATAGAGGTGTTGATTTTTTCAGGTCCATTAGAACATCAGGGTGGTGACATCACGTCTTTATAAGGAGTTTGCATATTTAGAAGTCTCCCCTGGAGCAAGAAGAGATGGGGAAACACAAGGAAAAGTTATTAATTCTGCGGTAGGAGATCGAAGGAACTCATCTGGCTTGCATTTCAGGAAAGAGTTCATATTAAGACATGGACAGTAATATGGGATATATTCTGAGCTAATAGAACTGAAATCTGAGAGTTACTTTAACTATTGGATATCATGGTTATACTAACATTGGCTAAAAAATAAGAGCTTTCTAACCTTGAGAGAAAGAATAAATATAATAAAACATGAGAATTCTCTTTTAACTAATAACCCGAGTTTTTATTCACCAGATCTTCACCTGAGCTTCAAATTTGTGTAAAGATGGATTGCTTTCCTTTTTGTCCAAAAGGTTTCCACTTCTTCTGTATAAAATCCTAATTCCTATTTAGTCATCTCATGTCTGATCTCGAATAAACACTAGAAAGAACAGCCTAGAAGACATTAGAGAGAAAGGGATAAACATATGTAAAATAAGAAAGCAGCTCAGAAGATCTTTTTCAGTCTGCAGCAAAGGTGAGTCTGACCCTCAGCATCACTAGATGTGAGCTGGGGTCAGAATGATAGAATAGTGGTGGTGGAAGACAATGGATATCCAAGTCCCTTTGCTCTTTTGACGCTTCATGATCCTGTTCTCTAGACCTCCTTCTCTCTGCTTACTTGCTCTTTCTCTATTTCTCTACATCTGTCTTCAAGTGGGGCCTGCAGTTGTTCCTGGCTGACACACCAAAGGCTTGGCTGCCACTGAGTTTAGAGGCACTTTGAATCATTGGACGGTAGATAAAGGGTGGGGAGAGCATACAACTTAGGGGATTTTTTAATATCCATTTTGTGCCTTGTATATTAAAATTGTATTCTAATATATTGTACATCTGCTTTTCTTTGATCCGTTTTTACTATTCATCTGCTGCCAGCCCTCCGGTCTGGAACTGATTATTTAGGGAAAATTGGTGGAGCCATCTGGAAACAGGAGCAACTTGAGTTTCTGTCTGATTTCTAATGCATGTTTTGATTGATGCTAATTATACGGTTTATTTCATTATTTATTGTTTCTGTTCATTGTTCGAAAAGAAAATCCTAATCCAAAATGAATTGTTTTGAAAGGCTTTGGACTTGGCTGCCCTTTCCACAGAGCACTCTCAGTACAAGGACTGGTGGTGGAAAGTGCAGATTGGAAAATGTTACTACAGGTAAAATTTTGAGTATTTGTGAAGGGCTTAGACATGGTGGCATATTTTAGAGTCTCAACCCTGATCGTTACTTTTTTTCTGGGTCGATTTCCTTGGGAAGAAATGAGAACTATGTCTTTGACTTAGGTGAGAAAGCATTTAAACATGGTAGCACTAAGAACTGATACCTTTGGAATAATAAAATGGTAGTGCTGGGCATAGGAAACTCTGAGACCATCAGATCCAACACCCCTTTTCAGATGAGGAAGCTGAGGCCAGAGAGAGCCTGGGATTTGCATCAGGAACTACTTAGTGAAAGACTAGTTAGTAACGGACCTGTTGGATCTGAGTCTGTTGACTCCCATTCCTCTTCTCCAGCTCTCAAGTCTTTTTATGTCCCCTGATGCCTCCCATCCGTAAAGTGCTTCCCAGCTGAGAGCTTCCTTGTCCACATGTTACATTGTCTCACTTAAATCTCATAGCACCTGGAGGTAGTTGCTATTATCATTAGCTCTTTGTCCAGATGATAAAAATTGAGCCTCAGAAAGATAAAGTGACTAGTCCAAAGTCACACAGCCTGTAAGTGGCAGAACAAGAATTTGAGCTTAGCTTTCTGATGCCAGTTATCTTACTACTTGCACAATTCTAGTGTTTCTCTAGGATCTGAATATTCTTATATTAATTCACTTAATGTTTAAACACATTTTTTTGGAGGTAGGGAGAGTGCACACGCAAGCAGGGGTGGGGCAGAGGGTGAGACTCTTCAAGTAGATTTCCCACTGAGCATGGAGCCCCACACAGGGCTCGATCTCATGACCCTGAGACCATGACCTGAGCTGAAATCAAGAGTCAGATGCCTAACTGACTGAGCCACCCAGGCGCCCTTAAACACATTTTTAAGCAAATTAATTGAGAGGTCAGAAAAGTTGTAATTAATTTTATGAATATTATACAGCAACTAGTAAATGAGATCTAAAACGTGTTGCCTGGTATTGAAATGCATTTGGAGCATTTGAAAAATAGAGACAAACGGGCAATTGTATTTTATAAATATAAATACATCTTTTAGTATTCAAAACAAGGTAGACCAGTTACTGTCAGCATCCTTTAGTACATATGAACTTTACTTATCAAACACTGTGAGGAAAAGGAAATATATAAATGGAATGAAAAGGATGCTTATTCTTTTTTGGTTGAAATTAAGACTACTTTCCACTTAGATATTTTACATAGAACTTAAATGTTTTTTCTGTTAGGCTGAGGAAGTAGTTTCTACTAAAAGGTAATTTTATAGCATTATACCATTAAACTTTTATGAATATAATTTCTGAAGGCAAGCTTGAAATCTGAGCTTCTAAACAAATCTTAAGAAATCTTTAATAATTAAAGAAAAGCATAATTTGGATTCCTTTTGCCATCTGTATAAGATGGCATTTAAATGAGTGTACCTTGCCATATTAATCACTGTTCTCCTCTGTCCCTTAATAGCCTCTCATCTTTAGTATGTGCTCAGCACTCCTGCATTCACTGACTCACTAAACTATTTAACGAGCCAGGCACAGGGGTTACAAATATTTATTAGATAGTCCTTCCTTCATATGGTTTACAGTCCAATGGGGGAGAGAGGACAGTAAACCATCATAAGCATGGCTCCCACTGTGATAGAAGCAAGTGCAGGAAGCTCAGAGAAAGAGCTCCTAACTTGGACTGGAGAGGTCAAGGATGGAGCCCCAATTGACTTGTGTCTCTTGCCCCTGACTGGTAAATCCTGCCAGTTCTTTGTCTACAGTAGCTCCCTACTGCCCCATTCCCACTCCAATGCCTGAATTCTGACTTTCGGTTTTTTTGAATTGTTCCATTAGCTTCTTATCTGGGTTCTCTGCCCCCCTCCCAAATCCTTCTTATATACTACCATCAGAATAACTGTTATGAAAAAACAGCTCCTGTTGAATTCTTTGACTAATCTCCACTACCTCTAGGATAAAGTCTGCATTTTAAGTGTGGCATGTCTGATCTTGTCCCAGTCCATGCTTGCCCCTCTCACTCCCTTCTCCCATTACTTATTGTGTCCTTCTTTCCAGTTAAACCAAACAACTCAGCATTCCCCTCCCATGCTGTGCACTCTGCTGTGTGTCTGTGCAGATAGTTTGCTTCCATCTGAGATGTACACCCCCCACCCCACCCTGTCTAGCTCTCAAAATCTTGCCTGTCACTTCCTCCCTGAAACTATCTTGGTTCACTCCTCCTCTGTGCTCTGAAAGCACTTTTTTTTTTTTTTATTAGCCATAATATGTTTCCATTTATTTGTGAACATGTTTTGTTCCATTCTTATTGGTGCCTTTAGGACATGTTTGTGATCTTCATTTTTGCGTCATGAAATGTGCATGCGTTGGTGCTTGACAATATTTACTGAATTAAATTGGAGAGAAAAAGTTGGCAGTCGGTGGGGTTATCTTGGGACTTTGACTCTCTGATATTGGCTTGTATTCATGAACTTGACTGATATTTTCCTTATTCCTAGACTTTCTTTGTACGTGGCCCACTTAATTCCTTTGCAGAAGAACCCATGTGGTTATTCCTTTTTGATAGTATTAGAAGAAGTTATCTCTTGAGGATGCAGTAATAAAAAAATGTATGACCCATCCTTCCTTCCTTTGGTTTCCAGGGTAGCTAAATGGCTTTGATTGCTCTTTTTTGTTTTTTTAATTTGTTTATCTTTCCATCACCATTGTTTAAAAAAATCTATTTGTTTTCATATTATTGTTTTATATGTATCTTATAGGATTATATTGTAATCCCTTTTAAATCATTTTTGGGAAGAGACATCATAGTAGATAAAAATACACAGACTCTCATGGATAATTAAGTGTGGCTGAACTTCAGCCACATGCTTAAGATTTGAATGCTCAGTTGAAGCTTTATATAGAACTATGCTGTTTTTCAGAACTTGAGAGTTCTTTGATAACATTTTGTGAATACTCCTGGTAAAAGTTGTGGGAGCTTTGGGGGGGGGGGCTTCTGCCATTTCACACATTCTAACTTTAGGGTAGTTTGGGGGGTCCCTTTTAACCCCATTAATCCTACATCTCCCTACAGCTGCTCGGGTGTCGCCACACCAGTGCTCGAGGCTTAGACAACCAGCTAGAAGGTCCGAGTTCTTCTGTCAAGGCTCCGAATGAAAGTAGCACAGTGGAACATCCTGTGAAATACTCATTTCGCAAAATGAAAGCATCATCAAGTGCCTAAGCAGCTCTTAGCTGGCTAGGGATGAGTAGTTAGGAGAAAACCCGACAGATCTAGAACAGGCTGAAGTGTGCTTTAATGACTGACTGAGCTTTAATGCTCTAATGATTGAATCAGTAGTAATAAAATGGTCCCTGGGCAGAAGAAATGGGGCTGATATCAGGACAGTTGTAGTTAGGCAAGGAACAACTCTCAAATCTGTAGACTGGGACAGTCTGTATCAGGTACGAAGATAAAAAAGGAAAAGAAAATGTTTCTAGAATCATAAAATGGTAAAACTATATCACCCAAGAAGCAATTACTACTTACATCAAAACTGTTTAAAAAGGGCTTTAAAAATGGGCCTTTGTTGGGGCGCCTGGGTGGCTCAGTCGTTAAGCGTCTGCCTTCGGCTCAGGTCATGATCTCAGGGTCCTGGGATCGAGTCCCGCATCGGGCTCCCTG